ATTAAGCCTATTTTAGTTCAAGAGTTCTGTAGTTCCGAATAGTTCTGAACCTTTACGCGCATACGTACAATATGCAATATGTATGTGCAGAAAAGTTCAGAACTGTTCGGTACTAGAGAACTCTTGAACCAAAACAGGCCCATTGGCATCTACACAGTAAGTTATTGAACTAGAAAGTGACAAACAAAGAAACGCAACTTTGTCTTTGGATATAGACGTAATTCTGCCAAACATTAAATGATAGCAAAGATTCAGAGACTAGAAGATGATTATGAACGCGACTGTGAGTGATAATAATGTAATTCTGGTCGTAATAAGTAGCTGTCACGCAACAGAGAACCCCGAATCACAAATACGCATTAATATGTAACTTTGCCAAAAAAATAACTACATCCATCAAGAATTCGACGGATAAAGAGATGCCCCAGTACGAAAACAATGAAGAAAGAACCTTTTGTATAGACAAGCAATGCACATGTACGCATGACAAGGAAAGAGAAGGAAAGAAACAAGTAGAATAAAACAAAACTGGTAAAATATTTCTAAAAAAATGTTCAAATATTGTCCAATCCATTTCCAAAATAACTTATATTGATACTTGCAGTTTTAGAACAATTTTGTAATTCATCCAATACAAATTCTTTTTGGCATTTTGCATTTTAACGTCGTCCACCAACTCATCCAACTCGTCATTTCATCTGCTTACCAGTTTGTCAATAATCGTTTGATATGGTAATAAAAATGGTAATAAAAAAAATGTCAGAATCTGGTAGTTGCTTTTCTTATCGGTTCTCAAAGCATGTGTTATCAGATTTTCAACGAGAATATATCAATATCATTACAAACAAGAGAAGATAGAGATAGAGCTATGCCCTACAGGTGTAAAACAACAAATTGGCAATCGAAGAATTCATCAGTTGCTTCAGGGTTACCTCAGGGTTAGGTTTTCCAAAAAGACATACCGAACTTAAGCAACCTAAGCTGGAGGAATATAGTTGGATTAGAAACTGGAGTATGTGTGTCCGCACTACAAAATACACCTTCCTCAATAATCACCAGCACTTCGGCACCTATATGTGACAGTGGATGTTGTATGACAAGTATCGGAACATTCATCCATTTGACGAGCGCTGACGATAATGTACGGATGGCAGACAATGGAAGCATAGATAAAGAGAGAGTTAAAATAGGAAAGTACCTACAGCAAGGTAAACGAACAAGTTAGCCAGCTTAACAAAAACGATGCATGTAAAAACTAAGATCAACGAGCGAGTAGAAGAACAAAACAACAAAGGAGAAATCATGGAAATAACGGGAATGTTGGCGAAAGATGTAAAGTTGGCGATCTATTAAGTCAATTCCAGAATGGCATAGATACCTAGATACCTAGTGTTAATAACATGATGTATAGTCTGGTCATACAAACTACTATTCTATCTTAGGGGATGGGAACAGATACAGTTTAGACGATCACACAAACAGATAAGTACGAGTTTTGGACGAATATAAATATATTGTCGCTTATGCAATAAAAACGTGCATAAACACGGTAGAGTAAGGAATTGTGTTGAAAATGGTGATAGTATCGTCATAATAGTACTAATGGATATTAGTAACGCTGATTTGTAAGATTGAAGAAGCGAAACTGAGAATATGCAAAATATAATAGCACCGAGGAAGATACTGGAACGTTCTTTTTATTCTTCAGAAATTGAGCTCTGTATATCCATGGTGAAGTTGATAAACTTAAAGGCAAGGAAGTATTCAGAAAATCTATGGTGTTAAAACAGTATTGAAAAACAAAGAAATTAAAGGATGTGCCAAGACGTATTTCTAAAAAGGCGGAAAGTAATATAGGCATCGTCAGAGCATAAAAAAACTGTTAAAAGGATACAAAAGCAAGAAAATATCCTTTATGTCATAAGAAAGGACATCACTATAGAGAAAACTAAGGCAAATGGAGTAAACTCTAGTAATTCTTTAATACACAAAAAACTCGTATTAACAAGTTAAAGAACACCGACCCAACAAGGTAATGAGGCAACAAGCAGAAACCTGGAGAAAATCATATTAGTGATGAGGCCATCACGACTACCATGAATCTCAAGGCCGAAAAGGACTACTTGAATAAATCCATCTTGGATTCGTCATCTCAATAAGATAGCTCCACTTCACGACTATTAACACAAGTAAAGGTGTAAAGTGTATCAAGGATTTGCAAGAGGTAACACTTGCTATAACTTCATAATGATGAATAATGTCAAGAACCCTGAGCTAATAAATCCAAGGATGAGGTTCAGTGGTTTAAAGGATTTTGTTTTCTGCTGCTCAAGTGAGGATAAGATCTATACCCCTACCTATATACCTTAACATGTCAGTTGAATTAAAACATCTAATGTTGCACCTAAGCGCCTTCAGAGCTTCTGGCGCTTCGCTACGTATCTGGAAGTTGACGAAATGTCACAGTCAACTTTGTACCTCAACCAGGTAACCCAAATTACTTCAAATAAAAATCAATTTTTTTTATCACTGCTATCACCACGTGTTTCAACAATTATAATTTATCATCTTCAGACGTAGCTGGTTGATTCAGAAAATAACATTCATAAATACAAATTGAAAACAGTATGAAAACAGACAATAGGTATTTGAGCTTATCCAACCAGTCGGAATTATAAAGGTTAAGGACGCTGGCAGCAGATATTCCAAAGATGAGGTGAATATGTCCTTACTAAAATACCTAATCTACGCTGTGCCACAACAGCAAGTATATAAACACATTTTTAGCATTCTGAAAGTAGTAAACAGTTTTCTGCAAGCAATATTTAGTCATCCATTAGTAGTTTCTACTCTTATCCAAATAGTACTTAATTTGCTGCGAGCACAGTATCTAGCCTACTACCAGCTTTATTTATTATTCTATGTAGGATCATGTGTTCCATTGGTAGTATCCAGACATCCATTAACAGCAATTTGTCTTCTACAAGACGGATCTCGTCTACAACCAGGAGTATCTATTATTTTTCCAGAAGTAAGTAGTCATCTGCAAACAAATCCAGGAATCTATTAACAGCTCCTGCTCCTGGCAGCAATTTTTAGCCTTCTGAAACCAGTAATAGTGTTCTGCAAATAATATTTAATCCTCCATTAGCACTTCCTAGTCTACCACCAGGTACATTAGCACTCTGTCTAAACCTTCAGATCTACAATAATGGTTCGCTATTTTTACCAACACTAAACAATCTATTTAAACATTCGGTAGAGTAATGGTAGCCTTTAGATTAATAATAACCAATTTAATTAAATTTAATAACCAATTACCATATTTTACTAAAAGAAGGTTGTTTGAGTAACAATCTTGTTAAGCGTTAAGCGCCCTGTGCACTCGAGATGATAATACTCTTTATTTATTTATAACAGTTCCATTAAGCGCATCGCTACAAAAAGTTCTTGGTCACAACTTGGTAAATGTATCCTTAGCATAACTATAAGTCTTCTTGCGGTGCGTTACAAAATAAACTTTTATAACATAAAGTTTGTTGATTCACCTTTTAGTCAATCCAGTATGTGAGAGGATGTAACAATATAATCTTGTGTGATTGACCTCATAATGATGATCCTTGGAGAACATTTCTGTACTGGTTGATGTGACCAGAGTGAGTATGGAAAGAATGCACAAGGAGCCCACTGGTGTCTTGGTACGGTGTGTAATAATACATGATCCACGTACCGCGAGAATAAATTTGTGTAGCACACGCCAGTTGAGATTCTGTCATAGGACCAAACTCTTTTATCATCTCTAGAAAAATTCGCTACTTGCTTGGAAAACTTGCTTCACTCGCTAGTAATTGTTTTTTTATAGAAAACGATTAAGATTTCTGATCAAATTTTGCTATCAATGCTATCAGTTATTTATTTATGCTGTTCTCAAAAACATATGAGTTATATATATATATGTATCTTAATCTCTTGAGTAGTCTTCTCTTGAAAATGATACTTCCGGTATAGTTGAAATGAAAAATTAATCATGTTCACATATTTGCCACATATCCAGCTAATATTATCAGTTAGCAATCTTTTCTTTCATTTTATGCCAAAACCAATAAGATAAACTGCTTGAGCAATGAAATACAAACATATAACATATATTTATACTTCATGATTTGCTTCAGTCTTTTTATTTTCACTGTCGTTTTACAACAAATCCTCTGAAAATACTCCAGAAATGTTCATATCACATAAATGATAATTTTCTATTTTATTTAAAATTTTAAATTTCCATATACCAAACCAAAATTGGTGTATATGTTATCAAATAAATGTATGTACAACATAAATTGCATTAATAAATGCATTTTCACATTCAATATCATTTTTATAACCAATTTGAATTTGTCCTATTAAATTAATAATTAGGAATTAAATATTTACATATCAATTTCTAAATCATAACGTTCTTCGTTTATATAAAGAGGTAAAGAAGATGATTTAACGCACACTTGGCTGTACGTAAATTCAATATATCTTTCTATGCATAATCCGGGTGATAAATATAATCCACGTGGAAAAATTTTTATTGAATACGCCTAAAAATAAAAATAATTTGAACTGATATTTTTAAATTACCCAAAAGAAATTACACAGGAAGTAGGGGTTGCCATTCTTATGAAAGCAATATTTTTTCCAATGTTTTGCAAAACAATTTTCGTTTTAAAGTGTTTCCCTTCATAAGCACCTTTAAATATGATTCTATTAGGTATTATTCTAACGTTATGAAAATCGGTCCAAAATTTCGGTTCTTGTTCGTTGTGATCGTGTAGGGACGAACTTTTTTGAACTGACAGTGCTTCAGTATAACAAATTAAATCTCCAATAGAACAAGATTCCTCCATTCTATATCTTATCTTAGTTTCTTCGAGTATTTTTTTAGTAATTTGTCAAAGTTAACAAGAGTGAAAAGTTGTCATTTAGACTGAAGACAAGCAAGTAGGTGATGAAGAGAAAACAAAAATTCGCGTACGTCAAATCGCAAGTGTCCGTCGCGTTTCAGGTTTCGCGAAAAAAAATAAGGACAACCAAAGGGACATTCATCATCCGACTCAAAATCTAAATAAAAATAAGAAATTTTAATGGTTTATCCATAGGATTAAAAGTGAAATTTATGAAATTTACGAAACAAAATGGGTAGATGTGGTCCAGTATTTTTGGCGTTTCTTTTAAGTTGTTTCGGAATTAATATATTTATAAAAGAAAGATCAGGATGTGAACCCCTAATATCATCACTTATTTTTTTAACATCAATTATGGTTGTCTTATGGCAATTACGACTTTATCCCGCTTCCTTCAGAAAACTTTCCATACACTTTTTATATGTGGTTGAGGTAGGTTTCAACAACTTTTCTAATAACAAATCTTAAATAATTATATCTCATTTTAGTTTTTCTTTTCTGCTTTTTTAATGGAACACTTAATGGTACATTTTTGGACTCCTTTAGAGGAAAGAATGACGGAATTTTTACCGAAAATATCCGATTTTGAAGATGAAATTTTAAAACAAGGAGGATGGGCGTGTGGTGGATTATTCACATTTTTACGATGGGATGAAACTTTGGTTGGCGCAAGTTATTTATTAAGTCTTTTCTTTTTATTTGGAGCTTTACATGGAATAAGAGCGCTCGATTTTAGGTAATTTAAATTTGTTTTTATTAAAAATGAGACCTTTGGAAGACTATGTGGTGTAACGAGATTCAGTAGATATCTTCTAACAGCAGATAAATGGACAGACTATTCTTGTTAAAGATTATCGACCTGAAAGATTCATAACAATTAAAATGTCAAAATTTAACCTGTTTTTGTCAAATCAAATGTCAATTAAATAGTAACCTATAATGACATTCTTAAATATAGTCAAATTTGAGTGTCTATCTCGCAAACTACATCAGAATCTACATTGTTTAATAAAATTTGTTTTTTCAGCTTCAAATAATGAATCTATTTAACCTTCTTACACTTTGTATCTTCTGTAGGTTTCGTTTGGACGTTGTAATTATCCATTATGATGATTGTTTTTGTATTGTTTATTTTTTAACTGGTTTCCTCTAATTCATTATGGTATTCTTCAGAAAAATTACAATAACGTTGATTTTTTATACAGGCTGCCCGGAAATTGCGTTTATATATTTGAAGGGGTAATTCTACATAAAATCATGAAGAAAAGTTCATATAAAGGTGTGTCCTTAAATGCTTCCTAAGGGAGGTAGAGCACTTAGAAGAAGACGTTCAATATGTGGTTATTTCTCATTATTTCAAAAACTACTATGGTTAGAAACACGAAATTTTGCATGTCTCGCTATTTTTACGAGGCGAAAACGATAATCGAATGAAAAATTAGAAGGAATGTGCAGTTGCGGAAATAAGGGATAGGGGGCGCAATTTATTTCCCATATTCTTTTTGCTTTGCTCTTTTCACTATTTTAAACACAAAATTAGAATCTACGAAAAAAAATACATCCATGTCGATGGTGGAATACATATTTACCTCACTCGTTTAATTAATGAACTTGATTTGTCTTCGTCAAAGTGCTCTACCTCCCTTAGGAAGCATTTTAGGACACTTTTATATGAACTTTTCTTCATGATTTTTTATGTAGAATCACACCTTTAAATATGTGATCGCTATTTCCGGACACCTGTATATTATATTTGACATCCTTATTTACTAAACTTATAAACAATCATTTTTCTTTACAAAATACCATACAAAATTAGTCGAAATCAATTCAGAAAACAAATAATACAAACAATCGTGTTTCAGTTTTTTTTTTGAAAATATCATAAATATTTACATTAATTTCAAAACTACAGCTATTTGATTCCAGAATGGTTTTGTTTTATCAGTTTTACGACATACAGAGTGTTGAAATAAAAATGTAAGATAGACTGAGTTAAATAATATAGTGTGGCCCGCTTAATTGGGATACAGAGCAATCAGGTCACCCGCTTATTTACAAATGGGATAAATTTAAAAAAGCTGGATTCAATAATCAGTAATCCGTAAATTAAGATATAATTTTATTACTTAATTTGGTGCAAATATTCTGTCATAGCAAGGTATGCAACATATTACATAATTTAGAGTACCATAAAGTGAAGGTTCAGTTTATGAATTCTCACAACGATTTTTCCCCAAAAATTTAAAAACAGTAAGGGACCAACGAACGTGGAGAATTTTTTAAACCAAGGCAACACAGACAATATTTCGGCAATGGGGTACATATTTGCTTGGAATTATTGCTTAAAGGGCCTATTGAAAAAATTCTGGAAAATATCCCCATTAATTTTTCTAACTCCTTTATTTTTTTCAAGTAACATAAAAATCTTTTCAATGCATTTAAGTAATTTTTGTATCCACTGTTAACACTTTAAAATCAACAAAATAATTTTTTTTTAATTTTTTCATCCTAATTAAGCATCCTAGAGATGATTTAAATGGACAAGAAAAATTGTGAATGGATATGGATATCCGGCAACTATCCGGTATTCGGCCTATCCGGATATTAAAAACCTATTACTTAGTACTCCTCCATTCACAGGAATTAGTATCTCTTTTAGGTGTTGGACACTACAGATAATAATCACGATCAACCCCAATAGGACGTTTTTCATTGAATACAACTTTATTTATATCAGGTTTGTCTTTATCAACCTCATTGTAAAAATCCCAATACGATATATAAAATCTCTTGTTGCAATTTCGTCTAGTTTCCTCCTCTTCACTTGTAATTCATCATCACATTCATTACTAAAAGAACTGTCGCTGTTATCATTTTCGGTTATTAATTAAAGTATCCTCATCTTAATGCAAAAAGCCGTTTTGAAAAATCGCTTTTAGTTTTTGAGAAATAAATTTTTGAAATGATCGACAATTTTTTTGAATTTTACAATTTTCCCAAAGTGTTAATAAAAGTGTCCTCTTTCCAATGAACCAACACGTTTTGAAAGATAACATTTAGTTTTTGAGAAAACAATATTTGAAGTTTTGATAAAATTTTCGATGTTGCAATTTTCATCGATAATTTTCAAAATTCGCTATACAATTAATTTCTTGAAGGATAGTTGTGGAAATATCACCAATTATTAATTAAAGTATCCTCTTTAGAGTTGCTTCGTTAGTTAAATCAGCATCAAAAAAGTTCATTTTGTATCTTGGACCCAAATAATTTGACATATCTTATCAGCTTTCTTATTAATTTCATTTTTATTCAAATACCGCAATAATGTGGCAATGTAGGGTATCACTTCAGAAATGTGCCAGAAATTATAACCATAATGGCCGGATAGATATGCCGGATAACCGGATATCCGGCCGAAAGGGTTGCCGAATATCTGGTATCCGGCTTTTCGCAAAATCATTAACCGTTCCATCACTAGTTTTTACCACATTCAAAAAAACTTTGAAAACACTTCCTTTAACTCATCTAATACCTGTAAGACCCATCATAGCATACGCGACAGAGACAAGACCAGATACAAGCAGGGCTCTATAAATTATGAGAACAATCGAGATGAAAACATTAAGAAGTATACAAGGCAAAACGACAAAATACAGAACGAAGATATCAAACAACAATGCGGAATAAGGAACGACATAGGAAGATGGGTGAGATAGAGGCGAAGTTTCTGGAATGAACATAAAAAGAATGAAAGACGACAGACTTTGTTGGACCTCATCTTTCAGGGAAGACGTATTGGCAATGAACAGGCAATAGCAAATAGAAGAAAAAGGTGTCCTTTAATGTTACTGAATTCTTTTGCTATGTTAAAGATTCTGAAGATGTTTTATATCGATCATTTTGACACATCACCAAGCTTTTTCTGTTTGTTGGTATCTTGGAAATACTTTCAAAAAGGGTAAAGATAAAAAAACTTTTCAAGCTTTTATAAGCTTTATCCACAAAAAATAAATTAATTTTCGTTTATGTATGTAGTCAAAAATGTAAAGCAGCTGGTATGGCGCTAACTGAGCAACTTTTATAACAAGATATTATTTCTTTGCAAATTTATTATGATAAAGAAATTTTGTGAAATTCTGCTAAAACGATCTCAGTTTAACCCTTTGAGTAGAGTTAATGACTAAGAATCGTCATTAGCTTGATACTACTTGAATGTAAACATTTATTTTGGTGTACATGGCCGGTACTTTACGAGAAATTAGATCATTTCCAAACGTCACATTCAGCACGAACGAGAAATAGCAGAATGTAGTAAAGGAAGAGGATATCCTTGCCATGATCTATGGTCAATCCCAACCCCAGTGTTAATACGCGACGAATGTACACACATTTTGTGAAAACTTGCTATATCCAACAACGTGTTCAACATTTGGTGTCAGAAGATATCCCGAGGCAGTGGTATTTTGTTAATTGTTGAATAAGAATACGAATTGGCATCGCTGCATTTTATTTACAGACGAATCACAATTTACTCAAAATGTTATCAACAACACACATAACATGCATCATGGTTGAACATCAACGTTGTAATATGAGGTGTGAAACTTAAGGACCATTTATTTGTCTCATTGGACAAATGTATTTAGAACTTTCATGATTGTTGGAGCATGTACCTCTAGCAAGACGGTTAAAAGTCACTGGTCATCTAAATGATCTCTGGAACGAAATGGTGGAATACTCACCAATGCTGGATTGCATAACGGACATTACACCCCTCCAACACATTTTTACGAAGAAATATCTCACCCACCCAAGTTCCACAGAAGTAGAGGTAAAAAACAGCCTTAAAATCTACACTGATGGTTCAAAGAGACGGGAAGGAGCTGGAGCCGGAGTCTTCTCGTACGATCTCCGACTCCACGTATCTGAACCTCTAGGTACAAGTTCCACCGCCCTACAGGCGGAATTAATCGCCATACAACTTGCCGCTGACGTTATTGTCAGATCCAACTTGGTAGGTAAGACTTTTACAATTTATACTGACAGTAGACAAGTTATTTTGGCCCTGAGTAGAATAACAATTACTTCAAGACTTGTTATGGGTTGTCATCTGACATTGGAGAAGGCCGCAGTGCATAACTGTGTTATACTTCAATGGATAAAAGGACACTCGATTTGTTCAGGTAACAAGCACGCTGATAGGCTTGCCAAAAGGGCTGCCAAGCGAGCGCCATGTTCGCCTGAACGGATAATCGCTCCGTCCTTATCATCTCATATTGAGGTAATTAAAGATTTTACTCACAAAAGGTTTATGAACTGGTGGGATATGGTTAAAGGCTGCCATCTGTCTAAGGAAGTATTACATTATCCTTCAGCAGAGGCAGCCTTGTCTTTCGTAAGGCTTGGTAGAAACGCTCTACGAACTGTAACGGGACTGGTCACGGGTCACTGTAAGGTAAACAAGTATCTTTATAACCTTAAGCTTGCTGTTAGTCCTCTCTGTCGCCTCTGTAAAGAGAGCGAGGAGACGGTCCGACACATCTTGTGTGAATGCCCCACTCTGCAAGACCTCAGAATGAGAGATTTCGAAGAGGAATGGCCGACCACAGATGGCATCAGGAACACACCTCTGAGCTGTATCCTAGCCTTCGGAAATTCCTTAGGCTGGTTGATGTAGCCGGAGAGAGTGTAGGTGGACGTACAAGGGGACCGTTGGGGCCTAGGTGCTGTATGCGTAAGCATACCCTCCGCTTTCCTACATACATACATCTAAATGATCATTACTCCAATAACTAGATCAGTCGAGGTTTCACATCGGCGAGATCTCTAAACCTTAATCCACTGGGTTACAACTTGTGGGGTTGTATGAAGAGGGGGTTGAATAAGATGTTATTGAACGATCGTTAACAAAATTAAGCTTCTGAGTATTAGCTCTGCACTAGCTGTCTCTTGTAGGGGTGGTTGCATTTTCACCCCATCTTTTCAAAATATGCGATGTAGGAAACTTTTGGGAACGTTTAAGGACCTTGCCCTATTACAAACCGAATGAAACCGAAAGATCGTGAGCTCCACAAACCGACTGGAGCATGCGTTCCATGCTTTCCACGATTTTCGGAGTCATTGGTCGTCCTATCCAAGTTTTTTTAGTGTCGAGCCGACATCCTCGATTTTCTTTAAACATTTTCATATCTAATGCCGACACCTGTTGTAATTTTTTTTTTGAATTAAAGATTAGATTTTTTCTGTCTCCGGTTTTTATATAAATTTATTTTTGTTGCTTTTAACTTTTAATGTGGTCACTACCGATTTTTATTTGAAAAGTTTTCCTTGAAAGGGTGCAAATATGATTGCGATAGCGCTTTAATGGACGGACTATTTCTCACGGCATATCGCCGCTGTCACACAAAACTTTCATCACGTCGTATTCAAATAGGCATTTGCCCAAGTTTGCCCAAATTGGTTTTGCGTTCACCAACAGTTTGGTCTCCTCATGTTGACGGTTACTGAACGCACCCGTTGCTTTAATCCTCTTGCAATGATCAGTATTCCCAAGAACTTTTCTACTTTTTATATTGTAGCGACCGTTTCCTATACTGGACATCAATTAAGCTTAAGTTTTCAATTTTATGGCAGTTTCAGGTTGAGAATACAACTCTATGTATATACTCGTTCTCGTTTATTTTCAAGGTGAATTCACTAAGAGAGAATTGTCCTTAGTTAGCACAATTGTCAATAATATAAACTCAGGTTACTTTTGGTTCAGGTTACTCCTTTCCACAATCTGTGATAACCAGGGCATGGACAGTTTAGAAAAGTGATTTTCAAACGCACCGCACTCCAGTCTCAAATTTCAGCAATATAAAACGATGCATGAAAGGGAACCTGTTTTAATTCGTTTCATGTGAAGAGGTGCACATTTCCTAGACAGTGCGGACCTTGGTGATGAAATAAACATGGTGATAAAAAATCAATTTGTGATGATACTTTTTTAATGTCTTTATTTATTCTGACATTTCAGACACTAGCTTATGATATGTTATCGTGTAGAAACTGCAAAGGTTACTTCTACATAGAAGAGCTTAAAATTACCGCAACTATTTTCTTCTTGAGGCACATAGATAAATGACTTATTTTGATAAAAATTCTTATGGGATTGAATCTAACTTTATAAGCGAAAAAAGTACTTGTATCTACGATAAACTCATATCTTGGTCTATTAGTAATGTACACTCAGCTACGTCATCTTGACTTAACAATATGGGAACATACATTTTAGTTGATCAGTTATGTTACGAATAACTTATACACTTGTCAGATTTTACAAACACGTGTCAAGATAATTGAAGGTTAACATAATCATCTAAAATGTTCGAGATGCATCAATGCAAAACGATTGTTTCAACACCCTGTATTTCAAAAACTATTTCTGACTTAATTTTAATGTTTTTATCGCTTAAAAAAAATTGAAACACCCTGTACTTTTATAAAAAACATAAAAAGGTAACAGAACCTAACTAATAAAAAAATCTGTGATTGGAATTTGTTTTAGGTTGAATATACTCCTAGGAAACTATTCCGAATATGATAATAAAAACTCGAGAACTTCGTTGGCGTGTAACTGTCCGTTAGGTTCTGAGTACCCAACTATTAATAATTTTATTGAAGGCGAAACTTAAAAGAAACTAATAAAAACGCATAAAAAAAAAGATTTCTAATTTTTTTTCATTTAATGTTTCTGCAACTTTTAGATTAATAAGGTATGGTGGTGTCTCGGTATTTCTAACAGACGTTTGTGATCGGGCATATAAATTAAAGAGACGTATCATGAAGATGTTCTTTACGAAGAGAAAGTGTCCAAACTATCGGAGAATTCCTAGAAACACCTTGGCGTATCAATCTGGTAATAATGGAATTTCTCTAGACGATTCGGATGATGATTTTTGTCCAGATGAGGATGAAGATTATGAATTTAACAATAAATTTAGCAAAAAATTTTCATAAAGAATTTTATCGGTTAAGAAAATTTTAATTAAAATCGTAAACCTTTGGTGGTGTGTTGATAAAATTGTTTTGTAAATAAATTTATATAAAAACATTGTACATTCAGGTCTTTTTATTCTATCTTAACCTAAAAAAATATTTTTTTTTGATAAATGCATAGTAACAACATACAAAATTCTTCTAATCAATGTCAAACAAATGTAAAACGCTTTTAACATTTTTCCTTTAAAAAAGAAAACTCGTCATTTTCAAAAATGTCATATGTGTGAACCGTGAAATTCCCGTATGAATCAAAGATGTGGTTTTCGTGTGGTCGAGCACCGTCCGCTGTCTGCAAATATTTAAAGCGGTACAACAAACAGTAAGTATCAAGAAACCTCTTCAGAAACTCATTCTTGTAGGTGTTTTTTACTTAGAAATACTTCATCTACAAACACATGCTTCTTTTCCGTTTCTTCACCTACCCATCACGCCAAAGCGACCAATTTCGAAGTATGCCATATCACGGATTCTATGGTTGATCCTTGTAAACCAGAACCAGCAGTTGTTATTGTTGGCGCTGGAATTGCTGGACTTTCAGCTGCTCACCGATTATCTCAAAGTGGAATTAGTAATTTTACTATTTTAGAAGCCACAGATAGGTAAGATAAAATAATTTAGACATTTTCTTAAAAATATATTGGAAACCATTTTAGACCTGGTGGAAGAATTCACTCGTGTTGGCTGGGTGATGTTATCGCTGAAATGGGTGCTCATTACATCGAAGGTGGATGTAGCGCAAATCCGGTTTATAATTTGGCAGCTCAAGAAGGTCTTCTACAACAACCTGTACCGAGAATTGATCCGAACAAAGGTTTATTTTGCACGAGTGATGGTAGAGCGATAGATGCACCAGTTAGTTGTACGGCTTATCATGTTTTTAAACAAATTGAACACGAGGCTTCGCTTTTATTCAGTTTGGGTGGTGGTAAACATGGGTCTTTAATGAACTTTTTCAGTGTTAGAATACAACAAGAGTTACAAAACTTTCCGGAGGACCAAAGGTCTATAACAAATTTAATTCCGATTTTGTGTTCATATTTTTTCTTCTTAGATATGATGCGTCTAGAATAATGTATGGTATGACAAGTGGAATTAGATCAAGATGGGGTGAAGATCTAACAAGAATAAGTGCGGAAAATTACGGTAGTTACATATCAATTCCCGGTGGGAATGTTCGAGTACCGTTGGGCTTTGTTGGAGTTCTTGCACCCCTTCTCCGGGAATTACCCGATTGCAGTTTAAAATATTGCAAACCGGTTGGTAATATTCGATGGGGTGCTGTTCAAAGTAGAAATAAAGGACCAAGAGCAGTGGTACAATGCTGCGATGGCGATGAATTTTGCGCAGATTACGTAGTTGTCACGGTTTCTTTAGGAGTTTTGAAACAACATGCTGATAAGCTTTTCTGCCCAACTTTGCCATCCGAAAAAATTGAAGCTATAAAGGCTTTAGGTTTCGGACAGGTTAATAAAGTATTCTTAGATTACGCCCGACCGTTTTGGGTTTGGCGCGAAGGTGGGATTAAATTCGCTTGGTCTGCAGATGAATTAGCTTCACGTTGTGATTGGACGAGAGGTTTAAGTTCGGTCGAAGAAGTCGAAGGTAGCAAACACGTCCTTTGTGCGTACGTTTCCGGTCCAGAAGCTGCAGTTATGGAGAAAGCTTCCGATGAAGAAGTCGCGGAAGGAATAACTAAAGTTTTGAGACAATTCACTGGAGATGCGTCTTTACCGTATCCTTCCACGATTCTTCGCTCAAAATGGGTTACAGATCCTTATTTTTGCGGATCTTATAGCTATATGGGGTTAAATTCAACAATTGGACATCAATGTGATTTATCGATGCCTTTGCCTGGTCCTTGCGAACCGGAACCTCCTATTTTATTATTTGCCGGGGAAGCTACGTGTGCTGGTCATTATTCAACCGTTCATGGTGCTCGTTTAAGTGGAGTTAGGGAAGCTGAGAGGATTATACAATTGACGAAAAAACTCGGAGGACCACCACCGAAACTTTAGATTTTTTTGTGTATTTTTAATGTCTATATTATATTCTACAAAAACGTGGAGTAAATTTATTGTTGTGTAGTTGTACTTTTATTTATAAGAAATCAATAAACTTTGAGTTAATAACCATAATTTAAATCTAACATGAAAATGCTTTAACAATAAATTCCGCTTTATTGTTAAAGATACATTAAAACTTGTCATTTAGGGCCGGTTTATCAATGTCGAGTTAAATCTGTTAGATACGCAACTCATAGATAAACTTGCCTAACAGATAACCTCAGTGAACCGTTTATCCAGCAACTTTCTACCCGACAGGCAGCAACCTACAAGATAGAACATAGATGGGACCCCCTGAGTGTTAACATTAGAAACGGAAATGAAACGTAATTGGTGAAATTTGAATAATTGACTTTAGTTTGTGAAGTTGATATAAACAGCTGATCGTGTTTTGGAGGTTATCATTCCCGTGTGCTTTCGGTACTGTGCTTTGTTTTCGAAAACCTCTTTTATAATGGAATTCCTACATAACTATTTATTAGACAGCGATAAAGATGAGGATATTGTACAACTCCTAAATTATAAACGATGACCATATATTATAAAAGAAAGACAAAAGTCAAAACCACTTTGAGAAGTTGGACCACCACGTTTTTTTGTTAGATTTCGGTTAAAAAAGGACAGTTTTGTCAATCTTGGTTAAAATTAAGACGAGTTATACTATATTAGATTATAGATTATATTTTTTTTTAAATTACTAGATTATTATTTATTTTCTATAACATTTTTATATTCGTTTGCCAAATCCATCAGCAAGTTCCTTTCTGCTGTACTAAAATTTGATGATCTTTTCTTTCTCTTGCTTATCCATCGCCACAATTATAAGCTTAATTTATTTTTGACGTTATATTTTGATTTTATTGTCATTTCCTTTCACCAAGCAACCAAACTTGTGCTCAAATTTTTTTGACAATATCTAATAGGTAAACCCTATGGCTCCTACCGCGGCCTTGGCAACATTAGTCAACGCTAGTAAGGTAAATAAATGGCTACTCATTGTAGGCTGCGACTCCAACGCTCATTCTGTTGCCTGGGGATGTGACGAAGGAAATTTTGGAGGTAAGACCTTGCTTGAATTCATTACGAGTAATGACTTGGAAATAATCAACCAAGGCTGTGAACCCAGGTTCGTCAATGCTAGGTGTCAGACGATTATTGATTTGACCTTGGCATCGGCGAACGTATCTCAAAACATTAGCAACTGGTGTGTCTGCCCGGAAGCGTCTATGTCTGACCATAGATGGATCACTTTTGATTTAGGACCAATTATGCTCTTGAGAAAGAGGGTCCGGGATCCAAAGCGGACTGACTTGAGCATTTTTGCAAGCTGTTTAAATGAGCAATTGCGAGATTTTCCAGATGCCCTTCCTGGAAATACCGATGAATTGGAGTATTACTCAAACCTCGTGGGTGACACACTAACTCAGGCCTTCCATAGTGCATGTCCTGAGAGAATTGTGGAGGAGAGAGGTAGGGCTACACCTTGGTGGACTCCTGATCTACATTCACTGAGGGTCACTTGCAGAAAAGCTTTTAATAAAGCAAAGCAAACTAGACTGAATTCTGACTGGACCTTGTTCAAAACACACCAGTCAGAATTCAAACATTTAGTGCGACAAAAGAAACGACAGGCCTGGAGAGGTTTTTGTGAAGAGGTGGAGAGCGCTGCTGAGGCCTCACGCCTAAACAAAATACTTTCTCGCGGCCAAAAGCACAGTCATGACATTCTAAAAAAGTCTGATGGCAGTTTTGCCAAGGATCCAGAAGAATCGTTGCATTTATTAATGGATGTTCATTTTCCAGGTTCTTTGCAAGATTTTTCAATGCTTCTACACCAAGTGGAATTTAACAACTCTCCTAGCAGCCAGGACTGGCAGATAGCTAACCAGGTTGTAAGGAATGAGTTGGTAGAGTGGGCCGTCGGCAGTTTTGAGCCCTTCAAAACACCCGGACCCGACGGTATATTTCCTGCTCTTCTTCAATGGAGTCTAGAGGATATGAAAATACACTTGATGAGAGTTTTTAAGGCCTGCTTAGCCTTTAACTATGTTCCCATCAGCTGGAAAAAGGTTACAGTAACCTTTATACCAAAGAATGGAAAAAAGGACCGAACGGATCCTAAAGCCTTTCGACCAATTAGTCTCTCATCATTTCTTTTAAAGACGCTTGAAAGACTATGTGAACATTACATTAGAGAGAATGTACTTAAAGCGTTTCCTTTGCATTTCAACCAACATGCATAAATCAAAGGTAAATCTGTAGATAGCGCCCTACACATGGTAGTGGGGCGCATCGAACAAGCATTTGATTCGAAAGAGTCCATTCTGGGAACTTTCCTTGACATAGAGGGAGCGTTTGACAAAACCACCTTTAGTAGCATTAACAGATAAAAATAATGCTAGCAAGCAGAGTTGTTCAGACTAAGGCGAAAGGACACATAGTACAGAGAGCTGTGGTTAAGGGTTGCCCACAAGGTGGGGTACTCTCACCGCTTCTCTGGTGCTTAATAGTTGACGATCTCATTCGTGAGTTAAATAATAAATATCTCTTCACAGTTGGTTACGCAGACGACGTGGCTATCTTGTTAAGAGGTAAACCTGACAATTTTCTTTGTTACAGAATGCAGCAGGCACTTAAACTCGTTGAACGATGGTGTGAAGAACATACCCTCTCTGTCAATCCTAAAAAGACAGAGACCACTAAACAGAAGAAACTGGGACACTTAACACCACCCAATTTCTGCAATAATCCATTAACCTTTGCTCCAGAGGTGAAATATCTGGGTGTTATCTTGGACAAAGGACTAACTTGGACATCACACATTAGTTGCAAAATCAAAAAAGCAACGATTGTACTGACCCAGTGCCGAAGGGCTATTGGGAATACTTGGGGATTAAATCCGAAAGTTGCAATGTGGATCTACACTTCTGTGATAAGACCCATGGTAGCTCACGGAGCCACATTGCTGCATCAATTGCAACGACTGGCCTGCCTGCTAATCACAGGCGCTTTGAGATCTACACCTACGATTGCAATGGAGTCTATGTTAAACGTGCTGCCCCTAGATATTTTTTTTATCAGGGAGGTGGCCGTGATGGCATTGCTTCGGTTGCGATCAGTAAATGAAAAGCAGGTTGTTAAAATGGGAATAGTCCGGAGCAAGCTCTGGAGTGAGGCTGTTAGTAAACAACCCCTCCTTAAAGCTCGCACAGACTACATTACACCTACTTTCTTAGGCAAGCCACACTTTGGCATTGAAACGATACCCCAGAGCAACTCAAGCTCGGGCAAAACGCTGACTATCTACACTGATGGATCAAAGAAGGCTGGAAGTTCCGGAGCGGGAATCTTCTCGCACGATCTCCAGCTGCACCTTTCCACTTCGTTAGGATCGTATTGCACGACTGCTCAAGCCGAATTAATTGCTATAAACATAGCAGCCGATGCGATTATCGACTCCAAAAAAGTCGGCAGAAACTGATAGCAGACAGGCTATGCTGGCGATTGGCAGGCATCATACTGCATCATCGTTGGTGAAGTCCTGTCGGCAATCACTCGAAGAGGCAAACGTATACAACAACGTCACGATAAAATGGCGAAAAGGACACATCGGAATTAAAGGACATGATCATGCGGACAGGTTGGCGAAACGGGCGGCTAACAAGTCACCGATCTCCCCTGAACCGTTTGTACCACTAGCTGTTAATACAGCATCAAAACTGATAAACTCCATCTCCCACCGAGCTTTTTGCGACAGATGGGATGGGACAGCAGTAGGTGCCTTTGCTAAGAAAACTCTGCTCTACCCTGACCGGAAGACATCCACTCAGTTTCTGGGAAAATCGAAAAGTGACTTGAGGCTTCTCACCCACTTCCTGACCGGACACTGCAGGTTACGTAAGCACATGTTTCACATGAAGCTGGCGAATACACCCCTCTGTAGAGGGTGTGAAATGGAAGACGAGACGGTAAGTCATATTGTTTGTGACTGTCCAAACCTCGTGTACTTAAGGGAATCTATTTTCGGAGTACCATGGCTCCAAATTTCAGATATAAGGAACATACTTTTCTGTTCTATATTAACGTTCATGAAAAGATTGGGCTGGTTTTCTGACCCTTGAATGAACAGTAAATTGTGGGGACGTACAAAGGGTCCGCTGGGGCCTAAGTGCTGTGAGTAACTCACCCCCACGTGAAACTACATACATAGGTAAACCCTTAACCAGTACTTCAATCTGGTGGGTATCCAAATGTCATATTTATCTATAAGATTACCCTAAACTACGGGTGGATAAACGATTCGTCGGCGTTATCTATCAGCTACAATTTTAATTGACGTCTTAACTAGATATTGATGAACCGGCCCTTAGAGTTTCTAATGTGGTTATATTTTGATAATTTTGATAGTTCAGAAAATTTTCATTGTATTCTTTTTCATACTTGTCCCGCGATTTGGATGGAAGAAGACTTTCGGTAGCTATTTTGGCTGCTTGAATTATTCCTTCTGAAACGATAACTTCTCCTTCGTCGTCAACAGCGTCAACAGAAAATATCACTCACTAAATGGTTTATGCCGTTACTGCGGTAATAACAATAACTGGCTTATTCCACCTTCTCGATTTTAGTGTAGTTTTTAAAAAAATTTTTTTTATAATTTCAGCTTTTATTGGATCAACATTTTTATATGTTATACACAATATTTTTAATATTTAATATTAATGTTTTATTTCTTTGTACTGTATGAGGTTGTCTCCTCTTCACTACTTATGTTATTGGTGACTAAATCTTCTGGCAGTTTTCTTTTAAGTCGAACCTGGATGTTTTTCTGTCCAAGGTTATAATATGTTGCTTCTTCAAAGTTTTTTAAATTTTTAATGAACTTTTCTCTAAGATTTTTGATAAAATCAGTTATTTTTGGAATGTTAAGTTCCTTACGAAGTTGATCGTTTCTAATATACCATGGTGCATTTGTTGCTATTCTTAGAATTTTATTTTGAAACGTTTGTAGTTTATGGAGATTA